CGATGTGATGAGTTTAGTGATGTGGTCAGATTTCACAAATTTTATACTTAGCAATATTTGAGACAACACAATGGACACAAAGTGATGGGTACGTACTATTCACTATTCATTGTCTTCATTTTTCCTGATTTTTTTTCACAAATTCACCAAATTCCACCTAAACTTCAAAACCTTACAACTTCTTCATTTTGTGTTTGAAGTTTTCTTCATATTGTTAATTTTTCCCGATTTTATTTCACAAATTCGACCTAAACTTCGAAACCTTACAAATTCTTCATTTTAAGTTTGAATTTAGAGTTCTTCGTATCGTTAAAAAGCTCATGGAAAAGCCTTTCTAACCGTACCAATCTTACTATACGAAGGCTAACGAACGCGAAGTGGTAAATTTTTAAAGTTTTTGCAAAATCAACTGTTGACCCCAAAATATGCGCTAATAGAATCTCGGTCACTTCCTCTCTACATGATCATTATCTGCATACCGAACAATCTGTTAGAAGGCAAATGTCACCGGTCTAGAAAAGGTCTGGCAACTGTTTGCACTCCGACGTCAAGTCAATTGCCAAACGAAACTTAAATGAGCGCAAGAGACGAGAGAAGGGATTTGGCTAGTTAAAAAACATACCTTATTCTGAATCAAACTCACATATATATAAAAAAATATGTAAATGGGCCAAGTGGGTTTAGTAAAACTGGCCCAAGTCCAAGCCCAATATAAGGTTGCATGATTTAATAGACCAAATCCAATTAAATAATCAACAACGAGTTGGCCAATGTGGGATTCCCTCCGTCATGGGCATGGCACGTAATTTATAGTTGTAACATCAACTAAGTTTCAATTTTCTTCTAAATGCAAAAACAAAATTGATGAAATTTTGCAAATGAACTCCACTGCATATGAGATATAAAATTCTAAAATTTTATTTTAGATATGTATATAGGAGATATCATAAAGACAACATAAGGTCGCATACTTTTAACATTCAAGACCCTGAGACACAATTGAATCTTGTAAAAGCATTCTTAGACATGAAAAAATAGTGCAAGGAATTCAACCTTATGCTTTGATACTAATGAAATAATCTACAGCTTGCTTGAACATAAATTTTGGTTCAAGAATTTTTACTTAAAAATGATGAATTTTCAAGATATTTATGGTTGAATCACCATGTTGTTCCATATTCTAAAATCTTCATTTTATTGCACTCCTATGGTTTCAATTTGGATCACTAGGGAAGGAAAATCATTATCCACAATCTAAATGCCATGATTTATTAGTTTTCTAGTAAAAAATATGAATTTAGGGCATTTTCAAGTTTAGTGTATTTTCCCACACGAATTTCACCATTTTTTTTATTATTATTATTTTGTTGGAGGTTTTTGTAGAGAGTTGATGGAGGTAGAGGGAAGTTATATGTTGGAACTTCGACTTCAAATTATTCCCTTCAAAGTTCAATCCATTTTATTATCTTGTGGGTCGAATAATTCCACATGATGATCCGCGAACCATCTTTCCACATGGTTAAATGCATTGGCGGTCATTGAACTTTACCCAAATGTGCAATCGGGTCACTAATCGTTAATTTCTAGCAATCATGTCATCCAACTTTGATTTTATTCTAACCGTGGTCACTCTATCATAGTCAACCTAACAAATGTAATAAACTTTCATGGATGTTAAAACTAACGAAAGACTGGCATTTATGTTCACGTCACCCATATTAAAACATGCACTTTTAAAAATATGTGCAAAGTGCAAACGGATAAACACAATTTTATTTTTTTCAATATTAAACGTCAGATTTTAAGAAAGAAAAACATTAACAATCATTTTCCAATTTTCATAAATTATTTTTATTATTAGACTGAAGGCGATAGATGGTTGCAAGCAAAGATTACTCGAAATTAAATATGAGTGAGTCGATTGTACGTTCATTACTGACTGATGCATTTAATCTCCAATAGCTCGCACACGATTCAATAATCAACTTGGCATTTGTATGTCTTTTTTCCTTTCCTCTTCATCGTGAGTGTCTTGAGATCCTCTAATCACGCATAATAATAAACTCTGATTCATTTCATGAAGACATTAAAATATATAAAAAAATCCAAAAAATGAAACTTCTTCCACTCATTTCCCAAAAATGGCCAAATTGAGAGTGAGCCATCAATAATGGAATTATTGACTAGTGAGGGGGCATGCGACGACTGAACAGGAGAGTATTCCATACATAAGTGGGTCTATCCATTCGTCAACTTGCTCCACTTGTCATTTTCTATTGGCCTAAACAACTTACTCCAAAAGCTGTATGAAAGCTTTGAATTATGAATTCCAATGGAGCAAGTGATTAGAAAGCTATATGAACACTACAATATTGGGTTTGAAAATTATTATTAAAAAAAAAAAAAGATTACATATTTGTAATGATGTGTTTAATGCAATACCTAAGTGGGCATTATAATTAACATATTATAAAAAAACAAAATTCTTTTTCTCGTCATATTATAATTCTTAACCTTCAATTAATTAACACATTTTGTCTCTAATCACGATTTCATCCAAATATTCTGCTAACGTGCATTGAAAGGATGGACAAATGCTTTGTTTAACTTTTGTATTAGTTATTTATTTGGATTATTTAAAATCATCTTTATAGGCAAGATGTGAAAATTAAGAGACGGTTGATAATAAATATTTTTTTTAAAAAAAGTTGAGAACATAAGTATAAAAATAAGAAAATTTAAGGAAAATTCATTGTAATTAAAAAAAATTGTGGTGTAAATATATTTGCCCAAAGTTTAATTCTCTAAAATAGTTTTTTCTTAAAATCTCGCCAATATATATTTGTAACTAATGGTTTTTTTTTTTTATTATTTCCCATTGGAAATAAGTTCAACCTAAGTGGGCTATTGCCCTATGAATACGAGTTTTCTTAAACCAGATCTAATTTTTGAATAAAATAAATCAAATATTGTAACCAACCACGACTTCAAAGTCAATGGTTGAAGGCTAATGTCTCTTTCTTTTTGAATAATTAAAAATAGGACATCATTGTTTTATATAGAAAGTGGAAATTAATTTACTCATAAATCAACTAACATTATTGCACAAAAGAATAAAAAAAGACCAAAACATAAATTTTACAGAATAGATACCAATGCTGAGAGTTCTTGGAAAGAGTCTTAAATATGTTTACATAAGTCGTGGTGGAGTCCACATTTCACAATCAATGAGCCCCTGATTTACAATCATTAAAATGAATTTTTTTTAAAAATGTGTGATTAAAAAAGAGAAAAAAATTTAAATTTAAATACAAAAAATTCTAGTGTGAAAATGTATGGTTGAAAATGAGTTCGAAAAAAAAGAGTTCTATTTTAATGATTGTCAAATGTGGGAGGAACTAGTTCAATTTAAAAAAAAAAAAAATACAACTTAGTATCTATTTGCCTTGCTTCCATCGAGTAACCTGACCTGATGTTGCCCCCTCCATGGAATGCCTTGTTGTTGAGGAAATAAAACAAAATGGCCCATTGACCCTGCCATATTTTCATACTAGCATTTGACCACTAAAAAAAAAAAGTTAAAAAGTATAATAGGCTAAGTTAAATATCAAAACCCAAAAATACTCATTTTCATTACTATCGATCTTTTTCATCCAATTCGAAATCACAAAAATAACAAACTGGAATCATAATCATATTTGCATGACGAAACATAATTTTTAGTTATAAAAAAATAGTCGAAAAATTGGCCAAACCATTGGATTGTTAGGATTTAAAAAAAAGCTTAACAGTCGGCTGTTACGACCATGATATGCAGGTGAATTTGTTCTTGTTTATGCTTAAAAAAAATTATAAATCTATTAAAAAAATTTATCTACATGTTAATATATGTTGAAATAAGATTTATCGATTAAAAACACATACTAATTTAACAAAAACGAAATTAAACACAAATAAATATACTTAGCAATTCGAAGTGATAGACGTAAAAAAAAATTATTGTTCAGCATTTAATCAATTTCTGAGATTTTGAGGTTGAAGTAGATGAAAAATGAGAGAATTTTTATCCGTGTTGAAATAAACAGATAAGAAAAGTTAGTTGATTTTGAAATTTTAAGTTAGAAGTGTTTAATTTTTACTTGTTAACTAAAATTGTAGTATTATCTTTTAGATAAAAGTAATTTATTAATGTAAGTGTATTATTGGCATCTTTACCTTTTATCATTCAAAAGATTACTGTGAAAATAAGCAATTGAAAATTTAAAGTGGGAATTAAGTTGTCAGACCAAGTCAATTTTAGAAGTAAAATTTTGCTAAATGTACATGTTCGGGTACACGACCTCACCGTCCCCCTCACAATGAAGGGGGCTCGAGGTGAATAAAATAATGGACGGACATACACGGCCCGTGTACCTGTAGCTTACACACCCATGTACCTGTACCTCTGTTGTTAAAAGTAACCCCAGGAAATTGAGGAAAAACACGTAAATAACTATTGACGTAATTTCTTCGCACCCCGGTCCAATGTCGAAAAGCAAAGACTGAGTTGACCGAGAGTCTCTCAATGGCTATATATACTAAGAATCAGAAACTCGAAGATACCAGTAGCTATCCCTTTATCTACTTATTAGCAAACTTCTCACATAATGGCATTTTCTCCCACAAATTTCTTTCAATTAACTATTTCCAATAGCCAAATCCTGAAGCTTTTTGTTGTTCAGTACCTATTCATACTACTGTGTCTTCCTCGTTTAGGATTTTGTGCAGAAACAGACACAATTACAAGAAATATTGTCCTAAAAGACCCCGACACCATATCGTCGAGCGGCAACGTTTTCAAATTGGGATTCTTTTCCCCTGATAATACAACCAAGAACCGCTATTTTGGTGTATTTTACAGCGTTTCTGAATCAACAGTGATATGGGTTGCCAACAGGGACAAACCAATTCCAGATTCTTCCGGCAATATAACGATATCACGAGATGGGAATATCGTACTAATGAATGGAGAAAGTGAGATAGTTTGGTCATCAAATGTTACGACATCTTCAGTTAATGCCAGTGCCCAGCTTTTGAACACTGGAAATCTCGTTCTGCGAGATTTAAGTGGGCGTCCGTTGTGGGAGAGTTTTGGGCATCCGTCCAATAATTTTTTGCCTACTTTGAGGATAGTTGACAACATAAATACAGGTAATAAGGTGGTCGTGTCCTCATGGAAAACCCCGACAGATCCCGAAGTTGGAAATTTCACAGCGGGTCTCCAGGCTCTGAATATTCCTCAAATCTATACTTGGAATGGGAATCGTCCACACTGGCGAAGTGGTCCATGGAATGGGCAGATTCTTATTGGTGTACAAGATATGTATTCTGTTTACCTGGATGGATTCACTGTGGTCAACGATTCTTCAGGAACTTACTATTTTACTGCGCCAGAGGGGAAATTCTTGATGAGAATTACGTTGAATTCTACGGGGAGTTTGGTTCAAACGTTGTGGAATGATCAGACACGGAATTGGGATACTACATGGTTGGCTCCTCAACAAGAATGTGATGTTTATGGGACTTGCGGGCCATTTGGGAGTTGTAATGCTCTGAGTTCGCCTATTTGTTCTTGTCTGAGAGGGTTTCAACCAAAGAATTCCGAGGAATGGGGAAGTGGGAACTGGTCTGGCGGATGTGTCCGAAGCAAACCTTTGCTTTGTGATCGCAACAATAATACGAGCAGTGGTGGCAAAGAAGACGGATTCTTGAGGCTTCTGTCTATGAAAGTGCCAGATTTTCCTGAACAGGGACCCTCTAGGCCGGTAGAGGAATGTAGAAGTCTCTGCTCGATGAATTGCTCGTGCATAGCCTATGCACGTGACACGAATCTTGGTTGTATGTTCTGGAGCCAAGAACTGATTGACGTTCAGCAATTTTCTAACGTTGGTGAAGATCTTTACATTCGTCTAGCTTCTTCAGAACTAGGTACTTACAGTTCTGTTGTCTTTGATAACTTGCCATATAAAGTTTATGAACTCGTTATTGATTTAAGTCTAAGATAAGTAATTTGATATTTGGTTTTTTCAGATGAGCACAAAGACAAAAAGCTGATTATTATCATTCCAATAGTGGTGGGTCTGGTTGCCATTTTGATTTGCATCTTCATTTATTGGTGGTTAATGGCTAGGCGAAAAGGTAACACAGAGTTAACAGTGGCTAATTTAGTGGGCTTTACTTGTCTATATATGTATCTGTCAGTTAAAGATACTGATTTTCCTCGTGGAACCAGGAGCCAAAGGAAAAGTAGATGCAAAGTTGTATGAAGCTGGGCAAACATATCTATCAGCTTCGGCCGAAATAGTGCTTAAAGATGATATGGATAAAGTTAATCTTGAAGAGTTTCCATTATTCACGTTCGAGACACTTGCAAATGCCACAGACCAATTCCATGATGAAAATATGCTTGGAAAGGGTGGTTTTGGTCCTGTTTACAAGGTAATTTTTTGTGACCGTGGGCGCCGAGTACTGCATTTTATATGGCTTTCAGCAGCATCTGGACAAGGAATGGAAGAATTTATGAATGAAGTGGATGTGATTTCCAAACTCCAACATCGAAATCTTGTTAAATTACTAGGATGTTGTGTCGAGAAAGAAGAGAAAATTCTCGTTTATGAATACATGCCTAATAAAAGCTTAGACGTGTTTCTGTTTGGTTAGTTGAAATTCAACTTTGTTCTGTGTCCTTTCAGAATGTCTTCTACTATTAGTTTTTATATTTTGCTTTAATTCTTGTAGATCCTTCACATCCATCACAGAAGATTCTCGATTGGAAGAAACGTTTTAGTATCATTGAAGGTATTGGGCGAGGCCTTCTCTATCTTCACAGGGATTCTATACTAAAGATAATTCACAGAGATTTGAAACCGAGTAACGTATTGCTGGATGAGGACTATAATCCGAAGATTTCAGATTTTGGAATGGCAAGAATATTTGGAGGCAACCAAGATCAAGCCAACACTGGAAGAGTCGTAGGAACTTAGTAAGCAAATGTTAAATTTACGAAAGTATTGTTCCCACATGTTTGGTACTCGGTATTTAAATAATACTGTGAACATGCCATTCATTTTTAATATTGGATTATTCAAACTTACATGTACTTATCATATTGTTGCAGCGGATATATGGCGCCAGAATATGCCATGGAAGGAAGAATTTCTGAAAAATCTGACGTTTATAGTTTTGGCGTTCTGATGTTAGAAATCGTGAGTGGGAAAAAGAACACCAACTTCTACAATCACGAATGGTCGTTAAGCCTTTTGGGTTGTGTAAGCCACTTCGTAATCTTCCCTTTTTTTGTGTGTGTGATTCAAATATTCCTCAGGATCTTATATATGATAATTTGTATCAGGCATGGAAATTATGGAATGAAGACAACGGTTCAGCCTTCATAGATCAAACGATATACAAAGCCGAATTCCAGGGAGAGATGGTGAGGTGCATTCACATTGCACTATTGTGTGTCCAAGAATTCCCTAATAACCGGCCTACAATTTCGACTGTTCTTGCAATGCTCAGTCGGGAAATTGTGGATTTGCCTGTGCCGGAGCAACCGGTTTTTGCCGAGAAGTGGAACCGTAGTCATATCACCTCTTCCCAGATGGGTGTCTCCATTAACGATGTCACTTTTTCAGTGCTTGATGGACGATGATGTGGGACTTCTTTCATACCGTTTTAACTAGTTACCTATGTTTTCTCTTTTTCTATTTCCATATGTTACATATATGAGTTTGTTAAAATTAGATTATTTATGTGTAATAATCCTGAGTTGTGTTCGTCCAATTATACGAGTTTGAGACGGGTTACTTGCATTTTACCGATTATCAATTAAGTGTGTACAAGTTTGAATACATTTTTTTTCCAATATTTATTAATATATAGTATAAAATATACCGTCCAATTATATGAAATAAGATTATCAATTCACTGTTCCTTCCAATTCAGTATCTGAAGCTGTTGCATATTGCTAGGCTTTGAACACAATGAAGATGATTTGCAGCAGCGGATCCAAGAATATTGACGAGTTAGGGCGACGTCAACCATTGAACGTCGACGGTCGTAATAGAGAGATCGTTTATTAATATTTAATTAAATAATATTAAAAATTCTTCAACCAATATATAAATGCACTAAAACATAAAAATCATATACTATATGAAAATATAAACTCAAGTAAGTTTATATGCATTCTCTAAATTTTTAACTTTTACTATGACAAAAGTAAAACTATACGTAACAGAAAACATCTCAAAGTATTTTAATCTTTTTGCCCATAAGTAAAAAATTCGAGCTTGGCGTGCCGAATATCATACCAGGAACAACATTTCACTTCCATTAGTGATCATACAAGCTTCAGTTGATTATTTGACCAAATATGCAATCTTAAAAACTCCTTGAACCTTTTAATTTATGAGGCAACTTTTTCTCGAGAAAGAATTGCACTGCAATTCTCGATTAAGTAGACAATTTCATGTTCCTCCATCTTTCTCTTGTTGAAAAGAATACCGTTCAAGATCTTGACATAGTTAGACATTTATGCTAATGTGTCAACAAAACAGATGTTGATACACAACTTCTTGTAAACGTCTAGGAATTTTACAAACTGCTTGTCAAGTTTTTGCTTAAGAAACCTTCGAGAAAAAGGAATACGAGGCTCAATAGCTTTGATTGGACTTGGTGTTTAGTAGTAGACATCTTTGTGATCTATTTCCTTGGAAAGTGCCGATTGTTCTTCACTTGTAGATTCATCAATCCAATTATGTTTGTCCTTTTTCGTTGGTCATTTTACACAAATCTTTGGTAATTGAACCCATTTCTATTAGTTATGGTTTGTACTTGCTCTTTCAGATTAATGACTGTATTGCTAGGCTCCAACTTTTTAATACATAACGGTTGATTTTAATCATTTGTCTCATTTTGTTGAAGCAACTTGTCAGTTTTCTGCATATATTGTTGTACCATCTCTCCGAACTCAATCTTCTCTCCTGTTGAGACCACTTGAACTTTGGATGTTGATTATGTTGACCCCAAAAGATGTACCACTGATGTGACCAACAAATCTCAAGGCTTCTCACATCCACACAATCTTGTTTTCTGCACACTTGGAGAAACCGTTAGTCACATGTGGCTTTCTCCGGAGGGGTGGAGTTGGCCGCGCGTACTCGATGGTCAAATCAGTTAGAGAAATAGTTATATGAGTGTGGAGAGCTTTAAACGTGAGCCTCCAATATCAAAGAAATTTCCCTTCAAAATGCCTATATGGACCTAGTTTTCTTGACGATCTTAGAGACTATTGGCTTCAAAAATCAAAAGAAGTGTTTTTTCAAATGTGTTTGCCAGCAAACAAATTATTCTTGTCAGCCTTGCCGACAATCGAAAAATGTCAAACAACTTTATTAAAGCCACTTTAATAAAGTATATCCTTTTTCAAAAAGCGGGGAAGGAAGACAATTATTTTCAAGAAAGAAGACGTGGCAGACAAGATTTTCAATCAAACATTGACAACAACTGTTCACGATTCATGTACGCAATTCAAAAGAATTTTCAAGTCTGAAGACCTCAGCTATTTATAGGGCTTCATTTTGAAGATTCAATCAGAGCTAATTTTGAGGAGAGCTAATTTTGAGCATCTGAAGAAAGTTTTGAATCAATCCTGTATTGCACTATTATTTTCAATATCAATAAAACTTCTTATTTTCAAAATTATATTTCCGTGTTTTCCACACACACACACATATATAGAAAGATTGTTGTCTTTTGTTTTAAAAATATTTTTTTAATTATTATTACAATTTAGCAATGCTCCACCGATTGAACCACTAATCCATCAGTTGAACCATGACTCGGTGACCGGATGATTTTTTCGAGTTGACAACCGGGTCAAGTCTGAAAACTATGGTATGAATGCGTTGAATTATTGTTCTTCATAGAATTCGAATGGAACAGGTTGTAACGATATCTAACATAATTAAAGAAGAAAATTTAATTCATTAAAATAGCTTTTGTTTTGCTATAATTTCAGCCAATATATATTGTAACTTTTTATTTTTTATTTTTTTCTTGGAATAAGTTCAATCGAAGTTGGCTATTGCAATATGAATACGAGTTTTCTAAAGCAAGATTTTTCAATTCATCTAATTTTTGAATAACCACCATGGTACGCCGTATTGTTTAGCTAGCTTAGGAAATTGAGAAAAAGCATGTAAATAACTAGAACAATTCCGTGAGAGTTGACTTCAAGTCAACGTCATTTCTTCACACACCGGTCCAATGTCCAAAAGCAAAGACTGAGAGTTGAGTTCAAGTCTCTCAATGGCTTTATATACTGAGAATCAAAATAGATTTTGTTGACCTCGAAAAATAGATTCGACACGTGACCAACGGAACGAAACTCCACGTAAGCTCCTCCTTGTGCAGGGTAGCATATCGTTAGTCACTCGTGGCCTTTTTCAATGGGGGTAGAAGCGGCCGCGAGCACTCCAACGGTCAAATCAATATTTTGTTCAACCGGAAGGTGGTGCCGGCGATGAAGTGGTCACGGGGACATAGTTGAGAATATGTGTAAATATAGTGAAAAGCTCTTTTGAGTTAAGACTAGAATGTAAGGATTAGAGTTGGAACCCCTTACTCTCACTAGTGTGGGGGTATTTATATTAAGAAAGGGAAGAGATGAATAGTTGGATGAAGAGACACGTGGTTTCAGATTCCGGGTGGCCCATCTTTTCATAGGCGTCACTCTGCCGATCCATAGGTTGGTAGACATTAAATAGTTTTTGACATAGCTACTGAGTTGACCGTTTGTAGCCTGTCACATGTCCCATCAGTCAGTTAGGGACTTGGCTTTGGAGAGATCTCCAAAAAAGATCTTGGTAGAGATGTAGTGGGGCAGATTGTAAGGTGTAACGAATATGGTACAGGCCTTTGCATCCGTCATGAATTGCAAATGAATTCGGTTCTTCTACGAAGTGGTGGCAGCAGTGTTTCAGTTCAAAGTTATGGAATCAGTTCGTAGATGTGGGATCTAGTTTATCTGCCACAGGCGAATCAGGTCAGCTCAACCCAAATTTGGCGGATAAGGTGCATTGAAGAGGTGGAGGGCCTCAGAAAGCCTGTAACAGTAGTCCGTTGGATAAAGGGACACGCGGCTTTATATCCCGGGTGGCCCATCTTTTCATAGGCGCCAATCCGCCAATCCATAGGTTGGCAGATATTCAATGGTTTCTGACATAGCTGCTGAGTTGATCGTTTGTAGCCTATCACACGTCCCATCAGTCAGTCAGGGACTTAACTTTGGAGAGATCTCCTAAAAGATCTTGGTAGAGATGTGGTGGGGTAGATTGTGAGGCAAAACGAATACGAAGTACGTGCCTTTGCATCCGTCACGAACGGCGGATGAGTTCAGTTTTTCTACGAAGTGGGGATGGTAGTGTTTCAATTCGATGTTATGGAATCAGTTTGTCGATGTGGGATCCAGTTCATCTGCTACGTGGCGAATCAGATTAGCTCAGCCCAAACGTGGCGGATGAGGTGGATTGATGAAGTGGAGGGCCTCAGAAGGCCTGCAATAGATTTTGACCACAAATTATTAGCAAACTTCTCACATAATAGCATTGTCTCCCCCAAATTTCTTTGAATTAACTATGTCCAATGGCCAAATCCTTAAGTTTTTTGTTCATCATTACCTATGCATACTATTGTGTCTTCCTCGTTTAGGATTTTGTGCAAAAACGATATCATGAGATGGGAATATCGTACTAATGTATGGAGAAAGTGAGATTGTTTGGTGAACTAATGTTATGACCTCTTCGGTTAACGCTAGTGCCCAGCTTTTCAGCAGTGGAAATCTTGTTCTGCGAGATAACTCAAGTGGGCATACGTTGTGGTAGAGTTTTGGACATTCGTCCAATACTTTTTCACCTACTTTGAGGTTAATTGACAACATCAATACAGGTAATAAGGTAATCATGTCCTCCTGGAAATTTCAGAAGTTGAAAATTTCTCAGTGGGTCTCTAGGCTCTGAATATACCTCAAATCTATATCTAGAATGGGAATCGTCCACACTGGCGAAGTGGTCCATGGAATGGGCAGATTCTAATTAGTGTACAAGAGATGTATTCTGTATACACTGAAGAGTACATTATGGTAAATAATCCTCCAGGAACTTACTCTTTCACTGCGCTAGAGGGGAAATTCTTGATGAGAATTACTTTGAATTCAATGGGGAATTTGGTTCAAACGTTGTGGAATGATCACACAGAATTGGGATAGTACCTGGTTATCTTCTCGCCAAGAATGTGATGTTTATGGGACTTGCGGGCCATTTGGGAGTTGTAATGCTCTGAGTTTACCTATTCGTTCTTGTGCGAGAATGTTTGAACCAAAG